AAAATTACTAGTATTGCTGATATAATTTTGATTTACTTAGTTGAGTTACCACCCTAGTACTGTACGCTAAAATTTTTGCCGATCACTTGTTCCAGCCAATCAGACGCCAGAATAAGAACTATACGTACTGTACGCTAAAAATTTTCAGGTATCATATAAATGGCACATCACTAAGCTTACGTTTTGAATGAGTTCGGATGGAAACAGCTTACGTTTTGAATGTTAAATATTGCGTTCTATTTTTTTATTAATTCTTGAATAAAAGTTTGTTTTTGACTCAATAATTTTTTGGTTTAAAAAGTTTTGTAAATTTCTGTGTTATACTAAATGACAAAATATACTGACTTTAATTATGTCAAATTTGATATCGAAACTTGATTATTAAACATAACAAAAAATTTCCAAATATTATTATAAATGTCTGATTTTCAGTCTCCGTACATTTCTCAAATATCCACACCTACTTCAATCCTGTCTAAGCGTGTATCAATTAGATTAGCTGGTGTAAATAAATATAAAGATTATCCTTACACCAAATTCAAATTCTTTTCAACTGATACCGAAAATGATATTCATCAAGAAATCTCGAGGGCGTTTTCTGTAGAAAGGTTTTCTTTAGTCAATGAAAAAGAAGATTGTATCATTACTGGAAGTTGGTATTCGTTAGAGGATAATACCACTTATAGTCTTATCAAACGAGATAGTACGGATGCAAAGAAAAATTGGCCGTATACATTCTATCGCGATAATCGATGATCTTCTAAACAATTGATTGTGAAGAAAAAAAAGCGTAAAGAAGAGAAATACGATAATGATATAAGTGAAACTGATGAGAATGAGAATCTTGCTGAGGATGATATATGTAATGCTAAGAAAGCGCGTTCCAACCGTAGGTTCCAAAGAAAAATGATCAAGAAAAAAATCCCTTGTCACATAACTTAAAAATTAATATATTATATATAAATTGTATTTTGTTTAGGCGCATCTAAAAGAACTAAATTCGAAACTTCTGACGATATGAAAATTTCCAGTGTTATTAACGACATCCAAGTCTTTAAACCTATTATTAAAAGTAATATTGATCTCACAACTATTTCAGAGTTTGTTTCAATAGATTCAACCTTTTCTCCTGGAACATCTGCTACAGCATATATTGAAGTCGATCGACTGCTTTCCCTGCTTGAAAAGAAAAAAACTAAAATTGATTGCATATTACAATCACAGCATGTATATGCGGTAGGTATTGATTTTCAAAAAGATTATTCTATGCCATGCATCGCTTGTTGGGTCTCCGAGTATCTTGATATTAGTATCAAGGAGCAGCTATCAGAATTGTTCGAGGATGAGTTTGAAGTTATAGAAAAATTAGTAGCACCTACTGATCCAGATGTGAATAATAGCAATAGTGCACAAGGATCATCTAGCAGTAACGATACATCTCCTCCTGGAAATAATGTTCAAAACGGATCATTTAGTAGCGATGATACATCTCCTTCTGGAAATAGTGCACAAACTGGATCATTTAGCAGTACTGATATATCTCCTTCTGGAAATGAGATGGAAACTGATGGTGAAGATGATGAAAATGGTAATAGAGATGGCAGTAATGAAAATAATAAAAATAATAGCAATGGTAAAGGTAAAGAAAATCAGGATAATAATGGCAATGATGATGGTGATGGAGATGATAAGAATGGAGGCATAACTAATAACTCTAAGAATATTATAGTAACATCAGCTAGCAGAATTGTTACTAGAGAAAATTTAGAAATATTTCAAGAATTTGACATTGTTGCTGCTATCTGTGCTAATGTTACCCAGAAACAACCGAAGATTTTAGAATTTTTTGTTGATGTAAAAGATTGTGGAATGGGGCCTATGCTAAGTGAAAATTCATCACTTCACAAGTTGGGTCTTGGTTATTTTCTTGACTCTGTTATAATAGAAGTCTCTCCAGCCGCACGTCACAATCGTATGATAATATGGAAGGCTGTTACTCAACCAGAGCAACAAAACAGGGTTACTAAGGTTTCTACAAGTCATGAGAAAAGCAAAGGGATTAAGGGACAAGTCAGTGGAACGGGAATTAAAATGGGAGTTAGTTATGATAAAAAGAAGATGCTCAACACTGAAAAAATGGGATATGAGTGGGAAATAAAGCTCGACGGATGTTTAACAACCGGAGTGCGCTGGTCATACTTTCGTGAGGATGATAGCTATACAAATAATTTTGCTCCAAGTATTCATACTGGAAAGTGGCATATTTTAGACAAGATGAATGGGTTTACTATAAAAATTACACAAGTAGTCGATTTTAAATTTTCTTGTAAGAATTGGATCAAGAAACCAAAGTTGATAAAACAATGCCCGAAGATGGCTCATGTATTGAAAATATCCTTTGACAACCTTAATAATTTTGATGAATATTTTGAAGAACTTAATACAACACACTATGAACAAAATGATCTTATTTATAATTTAAAAAATAAAGACTTTCATAATGAAGATACACGACAACAAGAAGGCATAAACGATTTTACGGTGACCCGTTCATTTTTGAAACGAAATGAATAATTTAGGTTTTTAAATCATCTCAAAATAAATTTACGAACTTTTTTTTTATAGAGAAGAATCAAACTTAATTTAAAGCAAATTGTATTGTTAAAATTTTGAGATTTGAGGCTATCTTATTAGTTGTATAATTAATCTACATTATTAAGTCATACCTATTTTATTGCATTTAATTTGACCTGTGTTATTGGGTTTTATTTAGGTTATTAGTTAACAGATTTAGAGATTAGTCTAAATAAACACATAAATAATCACAAGTAAATAGCAGTGTTTGAAATTTCGGATCTAAACACTGTTTTCATGAGAACAGTATAATAGCTATAGGTGTTCTCACACTAATATTTCTGTTCTCACTTAAGCAAAAACATTGTTTCTGACCTGCCGATCCATCTTTATTGACCCGACCCATAAAAAAAAAAAAAAACATCGTTTTTGACCCACATAGTATAATACGATCATATTGTCATATACTGCTAAATTTACATATTATTTATAATCACAAGCATAAAATTATATATACATGCATAATGCTCCGAAAGGGGTCAAAAAACCCGGGCACCCGACCCCAGAACAAAAAACCCAAAAATTCATCACACGACCCCAAGCATCAGTAATAGTATAATGTGCATGAAAAAGTATGTCAAAATCAGTAATAGTTAAATATCTTTTTTTTTTTTTTTTTTTTTTTAAGCGATCCTGTTTTTATTTATCTGAACTACTATGTGATACAATAAGTGCCGAAGTACCTATGATCTTTATAGAATAATGTTCTAGTCTAATAAAAACTCACCAAGAGTACAAAGTACTACCCAATGCGACCTGCTATAACAACTGTTTGTCTCACAAAGGGATCCAAAACTTGCTTCAGATTTTGTACCATAAAGATACCCCTCAATCATTTGACAGGTTGTTGTATACCATGTCAGGATCCTCTGTCCTTTCTTTAAAATTTTTTCCACCTAAGTTCGGGCAGAATAATTATCTCCTACTTTTCTACAAGCTAAGAACATATATATCACAATTACGAAAGAAAAACTACATCTAGGAGAAGAAAGGATAAACCAAATAGAATACACAAAGAACATATTCTAAATAAGATTTCATCATAAATGAACAAAGATGAAAAAAGCATAAAAAAAAGATTGGGGGATCTTGACACACACTATTATAACCTATGCCAGGTTTGTGTAAAAATTATATGACAGATACAACATCTGCATATCTCTACTGTAAAGCTAAGCCTTAACCTTAATTTTATCCCACCATATAATATTGGAAATTTCTAGCCTTCGCAGCTCCGGGTCTTGTCCCTAAAGTGGTTGCCACCGCCATTATACATCTTTAAAACTCCTACGAGAGATTCCAAAGGTAGTCTGGTTTGAAATAGTGGCACCATTCCCATATTTGGCCAGGGTACGTGATTGTATTCCACTGCATCGTCTGAATTTGGTAACTGTAAACAATGTCAATCCTTTGATGGGAGTAAGCTGTTTTGCTTACTTTTTCTGAAATTTTTGTTGCCATACCAAGTGGGTGATGTCTGAGGGTTCTTGTTATTATCGTACTTAGTCTTTTTAGTACTAAGAAGTGGAAGTTACCAAAGCCAGGGCCCAATATACTCAACCCAAAGAGAACTCTTCTTTTTGGTAAGTGATAAACTCTAAAGCTGTCGGCAAGTAGTGTATGAGAACTACTTCTAAATGACAGTTGCCCTCCCTGCAGTGAGTGATAAACTCTAAGCCTACCAGCAGGTAGTGTATGAGAACTACCTCTAAATGATAGGTGCTGGCTTATGGTTTCATTCATTTTACTAGGTGTATTGTATATCAGGTTTCTTGTTTTTCGAGTTGGATTTTTCCCAAAAATTTCAATACGAGGGATTGTCAGTGAGAGTTGATTGACATGAGTAATAGTTAAATATCATATGATTAGTTAAATATAATAAATGATGTAATTAATTTGGATATCTATGATTAGTTAAATAAAAAATAAATGATATAATTAAAGTCAAATATAGAGTATATAAAGCATATAAAAAAATAAAGAGAATTAGTTATTTTTTCGCTCTCGTATATTTCATCAATAATAACAATGTCTTCAATCGAAAATTGTACTTCTGCTCAATATAAACTTGAAAATTGTACTTCTGCTCAATATGAACTTAAACATGCTACTTCTACTACCGAACAACTACTTGTCTCTATTACGTCTAGTATTAACAATAATGAAGATCTAGTAACTCACTCTAGAAAAAGACATAGCAAGCTTTTTTCAGAAAGTTTATTTGAGAAAAGAGATCTTCCACCAGAACATCCCAAAACACATACACATTAGGAAATAGTATGTCTTCTCTGTTCTAAAGATAAAAGAAAAATATGGCTATGCAAAAATAATGATTCCAATACAACAAATCTTTGGCGTCATCTTGAACGTTACCATCCAGATAGTAAACCAAAATCAGGACAAGAATTATCTGAGTTTACACAATTAGCTTTTAAAAAGTTACTTAATAAATGGATAGTTTTAGATAATTAGCCATTTACAACTGTTGAAAATAAGCACTTTTGACAAATAATAAAGCTATTAAACCCAAATGCAACTATTTCTAAAGGAGATACAATTAGAAATGATATCATAAAAAGCTATGAAGATGAAAGTATAGTTATAAAATCCTTACTTCAAAGTACTTCGAGAAAGCTTTCATTTGCAGTTGATATATAGACATTAACAAATATGTATTCTTTTTTTGCTATTACAGTGCATTGGATTTCTAAAGACTAGAAGCTTCAAAGTATTTTATTAGATTTCATTAATCTTCATGGCCCTCATTCAGGAGAGAATTTGTGTGATGAATTTGTTAATAGTTGTTATGAATTTGAAATTTTACCAAAAATTTTTACAATTACAAGTGATAATGCTATAAACAATGATACTTTTATGCAATATTTGGAAAATATATGTTATAATAAAAATATTGCTTTTAATGCTGTTGAATCTCATTGTAGATGTATTGCCTATATCATAAATCTAGTCATTCAAGATATTCTTAAACAATTTAAAGCTGGTGAAGCACAAACCAAAAATGCAATATTGGATAATATAAACATATCTATAATGGCTAGGGATATAATTCCAAAACTTTGAAAACCTGTAGTCAAAATTAGATCATTACCACAACGTCATGAACAATTTATGCGTCAAGTTAGAGCCGCTGGTCTTGAGAATTGTAATCTTATATTGGATATTAAGACTAGATAGAACTCCACACATGAAATGCTTGTATAAGCACTGGAAATATATGAAGCAATAAATGTAATTACATATTTGGATAAGGATCTTTAATCATTACAACTTGATATTAATGAATGGAACAAAATTAGAGAGGTTGTAATTATTTTAGAAATATTTGTACAAACAACTAAAATGATTGAATCAGCAAAATATCCAATGCTCACTTCTATTATACCAATATATAATTATTTAATTGATGAGCTTACAAATCATCACAATAATTCTAATAATTCTAATGAAATAATCACAGCAGTAAATGCCAAATTGATAAAGTTGAAATCATATGGGCTAGGAGCTGGAAAAAAGAACGAAATCGACAAAACAAAAGATCTTCAGAAAATCAATTTTTGTGTTGTAAATCTTATAATAAATTATAAGAAAATACAAAATTTAAAGAGCTATACTGCAAAATTTTATTAATACAACTACTTTTGTGTCTTAAGTGAAAAAAGATTCTAATCTTATTCTAAATTAATTTATGTAAAAAAATTTAGTTTGAAAAAATTGTCATTTTTGTTCCTTTTTCCAGCTCCTAGCCCATATTATTCAAGAACTAACAATACAGCTATTTATATTATCGCAACTGTTCTTGATCCAAGACTTAAATTGTATTAGTATAAAGAAAATAATTAAAATAGAGATTTTATCAATGGCATTAAAGCAACTATTCTTCAAATTTATCAAAATAATTATGAATCATCTTCTTATAAAGCTACTAATTATAATCAAGATAATATGGATAATAACGATGATTTACTTTTAGATTATATTTATAGAAAGAAGCAAAGGATTAATCAACAAAATGAAGTCGAGTTATATTTAGAAGCTACTCGGGCAATAAGAAATCAAGATATTCTTCAATGGTAGGAAGTGCATGAAGCTAAATATCCCAATTTAGCTAGGATGGCTAGAGATTATCTAGTGATTACTGCAACTAGCATCCTAGTAGAGTGAGTATTTTCCAGAGGAATTGATTTAATTTCTGCTAAGAGATGCAGTCTTGGGGCAGACTTTATTTATGCATGTATGTGTTTGAAGTCCTGTGGGCATAAAGCATTATTAAGCTTTAAAATTTCATATTATTGTAATTATAAAATAGCAATAATTAGCAAATAGTAGCATTAAAACATTCTTAGCATAGTATTATATGCGATAAATAATTAATTACAAATAATAATATTGAAATGTATTCTTTCTATTAGCGTTATATAAATAAAAATTATAAATTGAATCTAGTCTTAGTATTAACGTTATATAACAAACTTAAAAAAAATTGCCTAATTTCGTGGTACTATAATAAATTATCAGATAACTGGATAATTTCAACAGTACTCAAGTAGAGGTTTTCAAAACCCGGGTTTGTTTGAACAAATATGGGTTTAACCCCAAACCTGACCTGAATGACCCTTTAGAAGCACTATACATGCATTAGAATCTTTGCAAGTTTTCATTCGACTCTAATTTAAATATTTGCTTTGTCTTATTTTTTTTGCTATCAAACCATGTGAATAACTTCTTTTTATTTTGTTCAGCATTATCACTCAAACAAATATCTTGTTTAAAACAAGATTTTACAAAGTCACATCGTTTCCAATCAGTTTGCTTCTCTTCAAAAAGTCTTTCAAGTTTAGATCGTGTAATATCTTTGTTAGATGATGCTTCATTAATACTACCTTCATGTCAAACAAACTATATTTATAGATTTATAATTATAGCACATATAAACATAATATTTGTTAATTTTAATAAAATATTACCTATCTTTTTAAAATGCTACGTTTGCGATTGCGAATCACAACTGTTCTTCATTTTTGAATTAATAAAAATAATAAGTTTAATTGTTCTCTGAGATTATCTAGTAAAGTTTGATCTAATTCAAATACAGTTGATGATTCTAATTCATCATCAAGTAGCATTGAATCATTATTGCTATTGTTATTGTCAAAATTCTAAAAAAAATATAATTGTAAATCATAAAATGCAACTTGTAATTTATTTGAACATATATATATATACATATATACCTCTTTGTTATATGTTGTATTTGTAAAACCAGTTGATTTTTGTGGATTTGCACCATAAATTTTAGGAGTACCAACATTTAAAGTTCTCTGTGTTGGCAGTTCAGTAGGCCGAAATAGAGTTTTTTCTGTAGTTCCATATTCATATGGAAAGAAAATATCATTACCCTGTATTGAATAAATATGAAGAATCTCTTCTAATGCAGCATCAATTGAACTACTATATATGATATGATTTTTTTGCTCTCTCAGCATTGCACGCTCTTTATTGTGAAAATATTGTACTAGATTATCCTTAATACTATCTAGTGTAATTTTATTATCTTCTATGTTATTAAACAACCATGCTGCATAGACATGTTTACATATATCTTGAAAAGAGCTATTCTATATAAAATTTAAGCATGTACATTCATTTGTAAAAATATTGACAAGATAGTAATTCTTTTGCTATATAACAGGATGTTTGGATGCAAGCTCATCTAGTATTGGTTGAAGTAATTCATATAATTTATTATCAATACTAATTCTTTGCATAATATAGTAATCTAAATTCACCATTTCTCTTTTTTATATAAAAATATATATCTGATTCTTCAATTGCAGGTTTAACTGAATGAAGTATAACATAAAGACGTCTTTGGTTTAATCGTCGCTTTACATCTATTGGTTGCTTAAATGATAGTGTTTGGTGTTCTATAATTCATAAATTCCAATATGTCATCTGACCTGCTTCAAATATCAACTGCGAAGAGGTCTCTTCAATAATATTATCCCATATTAAAGTAATACCATATAACCTTTTAATAAAGCAGTTAATTGGTTGAGTACCTACACGTCAACCTTCAATTGACTTATTTATTCACTCTGTGAAATTGTTTGTAGTCATAGATTTTGCTATTGGTAAATCATTTGCAGATGGCATTCGACTACTATCAATAAAGCAATTGATCCATTCTTTAGACAACCAATTCAAAAGCAAATCATTGCACAAAAATTCTTTTGCAACTTCTGTAAGTGGCAAAGATTTAATAAAAAGCTGATAAGCCTCTCTAAGCTTTAAGGCTTTATTTACACTTTGGCTTTGACCTATTATTTTGAAAGCAATAGCAATTGGAATATGGTATTGGTCATCAATTCTTAAGTTTTTAAAATATTCAGTAAATGTTTGCATTATGTGAAACCAACATAAAATTACACCATGAAGGATAGGCTGAAGTCCACATTTTGTAGGTCGATGCTTGTTAATCATTGCAAATAAACACCATTGTTGTGCACGTCGACAGGTTCTTGTAAATTCTTTATTATTTGGTAACTCTACATATTCATATTCATGTATACAATTAATTTCATTATATAGAATATTTCATTGAACAGACTCTATAGCAAGTCTTATCATATAGTGATTTTCTTTATTTGATAACCAAATTGTATAGTAACAATTATATCTACTAATAATACAAAATCTTTAAAATTCAATAACTTTTGATCTATCGAACCAATTTAGATGATTTAACTACCAAAATGATAGTATCTTCAAGATGCTTCTAATGAATCTAAAATTATCTGATTCTGATCATATGATCAAAAACGCTGTCAAGATTTATTTCTCAAACTATCTATATTTTTTTATTAAGTTTTTTATTTTTTCTTATTACTTTTAGTATTTATACTCTAAACTAACTATGATTCAACAAAAATTTCCTCACTATAAGCTTTCTAGTGACATGCTTGACTGGTTTCAAGCATTTCTAATTAATCCAGAAGCCCAAAATTTAACACAATTCCCAACTTCTTTTGGAATTAATGTTTTAAATTTTATTAAACCTTTTCTTCAAAACTTTTACCCTGGACATGTAACTCATACTTCTACTATTCTTCAACAACCTATTTGTAATAGCTTTAATAATCTATTACAAAACATGATTTTACAAAAACCACAATTTCTTTTTGATA